GTGTAAGAATAATCATCTTGTTTTCACAATGTGTAAGATTATTTGTCTTGTTAGTCTGAAAATTTGACTCTAATTAAGTCAAACATTTCTGCCAGTGGAGTAAGAACATTTTACTTGGTAAGATTCTTGAAATACTTGATTTGACTCAATTTTTTTTTTCAAACCGTTGAGAGGGAAACTAGATGGAAACAGTCTAGATTCGAATTTTTACTTATTAATTTTTTTTGCGAATATTGAAAAGTTCGATAAAAATTCACTACAACAGGATGGAAACACGATTTGTGAAGTTTGGTAACCACACACTGCTTTTTTACTGTAAATTGCACAAATTGTTTTACTGTGTATAAATAACCAAAACACTGAGATTTGCATATAATTTAATATACAAATGTGAAACATTAATGTTAATTAGGTTACCTGGCAATAGATCATTACCATATTGGCTGAAAGGCCATAAATTAATGTTGGAGCCTTCTGGGTGATAAAACACCAAACAGGTGGTTTTGAGATGAGTTACAAAAACAATATTTTACAACAATTACAATAAATGTAAAAAGTGATGAACATACACTGACAAAATCTGTCCATGTGTTTGTCATCATAAAATTAAATAACTTTTTAGTAATGATTTTGCTTCAAATAAGTATAGTGAGGCTTTTAAAGTGTAATCTGTTTAAATATTACAAATAATAGCAAGTTTTACATTTTATCTCCGAACTTGTCACTAAAACACAAAGTTTGCTCCCATTTATTTATTCTCTGAATGTAAACTCCAACGTTGGCTGTGGGGATTTTTTCCTGCCTCTTCGGTTCTGTCTCATTAACACGTCAGTATCGATACCAACGGTTAATCGATAAAGCAATGACAATATAAACACATTGTTTATATGCATCATAATGTAAGTTATGGAGCATTTTACAAAGAGGATGTGGGGATTTCCAGCCGCAGAGCCCAAASAGTGATACAAGTCTTCACATCAATCAAGTGAAATATTAGATGTTTAAACCAAGCCAAAGAAAAGCTTCACCTCCAGGGTCCAAATGATTCTAAGAGTGCCATAACAGATCAAAACAATATTTTCTTGACCTTGTTTCCAGCTCGTGGAACAGCTCAGATTGTTTTGGCCTCTGAGTTCAGACATTAAAATAAAACTGTTTGACGTTTAAGTTGGATTCAGGGTCGTCGACTGAGCTGTGGGTGAATCTGTACGTCTGCCTGTTTGCATCCTGTGATGAAGAACTCTGAGAATTTATTTCTTACAAAGGTCACGTGTTTTGGCAAAGTTTCATATATCAGTTGTTTATGATGCTTTTAGATTAGAAAAAAAAATGGACAAAAATCGGAAAAGATTTGTTTGCGTGTAGTCTGACCCTGGTGATTGTGTTGCTTTTTAAAGGGTTTTCCTCTCAGATTTCACCTCATCAGCTCTGTTGGATTTAATGACTTAATTTCAGGAAGAACAGAATTCAAAACCTCTAATCACTTATTCTTTTCTTTTCAGAGAGCCGGCATTGTGGGAATGGAAAATAAGCTAGTTTAGTTATTTTACACAGCTGGGCATTACACACTAAACCAAAAACACTTTAGAATCTGACCCACAAAATCTATTGATGATTTAGATACACAAACGTTGATTATRACTTCTAAACTTTAACATCCTGAGCACCATTCAATGTTATTATATGACATTATATTGTATGACAATTGTTCTTTTTTTTGTAGTTTTTTTATTTATTTATTTTTATTTTATTTTGGATCAACCATGATGAAATAAGCCAAGAAAATTATCTCAAAATGTATATTAACAGTCTAAACTGAGCTAAATATAAGAAATAACAGGTGAGAATGCATGTGTAGATGTAGCTGTGTATGGGTGTGTTTTCACATGTAAACACACACCCCTGTGTTCTGTTCTGTTCTTTAAATATACTTACTATACTTACT